TAGATCTATATATATATATAGATCTATATATATCTATCTATCTATATATATAGATAGATATATTTAAAGTGTGTGTCCACTGTAGCTTGGATATTTAGCTTGTCGCACAGCGTATGGTTATGTTGCTCAGAATTTAGACAGCCTAGGCCTGGCTATAAGCTTTTTGATTTTTGCTAGCAAAGTGAACGATACAAATTGAAAACAGAACAATGCCATCTGCTTGTTCAGTCTAAGCTACAAATGGGCAGTACACGGCGGGAAGGGTGTCCGACGAGTGCACTGGGTGATTAATCCAAGCATTGCTAATGCTAAAAACACACTGTAGGGCTTGAACAATTGATATTGTCAGTCATTAGCAGTCACCTGCAAAAAAATTCCTCAGCTTTGATTGCAGAAATTCAGTATTTTCATTGGCACAACAGTCATTTTAAGTTAACATTTGAGTTAACAATTGAACTTGCCATATGAGAAACCATGGTCTTGATTGTAGGTGGGCACCACCATCATGGATGTGATGTCAGCAGACTCAAAGCTGTCAAGTGACATTCTGTAGTATGAATGGGAAAAGTGCCAGAACCTCTTTAAAGTGTATTCTCACTTTTGTAGCCAAATTGGGATAACGCTTGCCTCATACTTGTTCTCATTCACATTGCATAACATAAACAAATATTAGAAATTGTTACTACCTCTTTTTCTGAAAACTCCAAAACTGAAATTGTTCCATTATCTTTAATTTTAGGGAGGGTGCTGGAGCTGGGTAGGGAATTAACATTTACCAAAATTACCCTGTCTGTAATTTGCTGGCAGATCTCATTACCAGTTGCAAACTAGAACTTGAACAAAGGTGTAAATATATGAAGGCATTGTATGTTAATGAGAGGAAATGCAGTTTGTCCCCCTTTGTCTCGGGTACAGACTCACAAACTATTCACCATGGCCTACAGTCTGGCTGAAGTCCTCCTCCAAAGAAACAGCTAAAAGGTAAGAAATACTTTTTAAAAATACATATTTTTAGGTGTGCTGTGTGAATAGGAACACATAACAAATATATCATGGAATTTTCTCAAATTTGTCTGTGAGAGTGGAGATACACCTTAAAAGGGTTCCAAACCCTCTGTTTTTTGCCTATATCTACTGCTATCAAGCAGTAGATATAGGCAAAAAGTTTTTTTTTTAAACAAAAAACGCGTTAACAACGGTTTAAACTTACCTTGTTTTTGCTGCGTGCTCCCGTCCAGAAAGTGAAACTGCTCGGGCGTCTGCAAAGCATCTAGGGGCGGGTGCATGCACAGTTCGGATTCTCGGCCGGGAGACGAGCAGAGACGCAAGGTAAGTCTATGGACGCGTGCACCATTGTGCAGACACCGCTGGATCGGAAGTGCCTGCAAGCAGAGAGGAGTCACCGCTGGATCGGAGAGCCGCCGCACCGCTGGGGGGACAGATGAAAACATCAGGAAAGAAGAGGAAGATCGGATTAAGAGACATCATTTAAGGTAAGTGCTAACATTAACATGGGGGGAAGGAAAAAAAATAGCCTTTAATGTCACTTTAAGTGAAAAGATTCATTTTCATAGTTAGATTAACTTACCTTACTCCATAATTAACCCATAACACTGGACCTACCCCTTCTTTGACCCTTAACTATGAAACTTAAAGCACATTTCCACCTTTCTAAAGGTATTTAAAAAAAACACATGCTAGCAATGTACACCGAATCTTCATGAAGCAGGCATATGCAGTTGATGTATATGAAAACAGAAACTTAAATTTTTTGTTAGCTTTCCTCTTCATATCTGCATGGAAGCTTCTGTCTCTGTGCTGTGCAAGCACTGTAAAAATATCTCCCATCAGCCCCCCATTCCCTGGATAGTGTATTGTGTGTAAAGGCAGAGCTGGTGTTTAGTGATCATGTTACAATGAATGACAGGGAGGGGGAAGCTGTTTATAGTCTGACACACTGATGTCTGACTTAGGCTTCAGGCCTAATAAAACCTTCATTAAAAAAATGCAGAAAGCCTACAATGTGAGTCATGAAAATGTACACACATATACATCATCACTGCACCTCTTCATTACCACAATAAATGCTAATCACTTACAAAGGTGGAAATGGACTTTAATTCTCAACCTGACCCTAACAGCTAACATATAGTCAAGCGTTATGGGTTAATTTACAAATATGTTAAGTTTTAGGGCTTGAGATGCGAATACTGTAAATGTTAGCATCAGCCTGGGGGTCAAGTTAACCTTATGGGTCACAGGGAATGGGAAGACTTTTTTTTGCTCTTTTATTTTTTGTATGGATAGGGAATAACAAACCCCACTTGCATTATCTTTAGCTATGATATCACTCATGATTGTGCCCCAGAAAGGACTGTGCATTTGGTTGTGCTATACGATACATTTGTTTTTAGCACCAAGAACCAAGCAGCTCTTAGTATGATGGGGATGGAGGGGTTCAGTGTCAACTTAACCCCATTTTGCCACTGACCCCTCTCCACCCCTCTGCACGGAGAGATGCTGGGTTCTTGGTGCTAAAAACAAATGTATTGTATACCACTACCAAATGTGCTTAAAGGTCCTTTCTGTGGCAAAATCCTGAGCGATATCTTAGC